AGGTTATATCTAATCTTCTTGAATTATTAATTCTTGATATCTTGAGATAATTTTTGCTACAACTTGTTATTTGTACATTCTTAAATATTATTTAATATCATATTTTTTCTTATCTTTCCTTATTTATGGCCATATAAGATAAATATAAGCTATTTTTATAAAAGTAGCATTAATACTAAAAGTTTTTACTACCTTCTAATATTTTATTTATATTTTATTATTTTAAATTTCAACTAAGTTCTTCTACTATAGAACCCATATTTTTATCTTTCATTATATAGTTATGTTACAACACAATAGTACGGTGGAGAAGTACCAACTTACTTTAATCTTATCAATAATTGTACGCTGTTTGTCGTCCAAACATGAAAAATCAGAGTCCAAAATGGCCTATATTATTAAACATGAGCCCTTATGTTGAAAAGCCAACAACTAGGAGAATTGACTGGCATCTATAGGGCTTATTTTAATTTACAACTTTACATTGATTGACAAATTGGACTATTGCCATACTTGATTTTATAATCCAATTTATCAAGTTTCATGACAAGAGGCATGATAGATCTTCACAACTTCCACATAGTAAAAAATCAATCACACATTCTAATTTATAATGAGCATGATTTATATATTCTATATAAATATTGGTCTACTTTGATTTTATTCATGCCACCACCAAACCAAGAAAGCATAAGACTATTCTAATTAATTTTAGCCCAATTAAAATCAAGGAAAAATTTCATAAATATCCTTCAAATATCTTGAAATATCAAGAATGCTCTTGTATTCTTATAATTAGCAAATATATCCTTTGTATATGATAGGATATCACCACAAGGGATACATTTTCTATAATAGAATATTTAAGGAGTACATTTGCTATCATCAAGAATGTATGGATATTATTGATATTTAAGGAGTACATATAAAAAGAATTCTTTATTTTTATAACAATCTTCTTATAAATACATTCAACTATCATTTCAATGAAATTTAATAAGATTTAATATCATTGCTTAATTATTGCTATATATATATATATATATATATATATTTGACTTACTCTCTAATTTTAAAATATTAGTTTTAATTAGTTATTTATTTATTTGTTTATTATTTTTATATTTTTATAAATTTTAAATATTTTTATACATTTTAAAAAAATACAAATATATTTGTGCATTTGGTCATATTTGCCTACATCTAAAATGATTATACAAAAAATAGACATATATGCATGTTTTCTAATAAAAGTTTCTAAAAGTTTCTAAAAGTTAATTCAAAATATAAATTAAATATAAACAAATAAAACAAAAATGATTTAAAAACTGTTCTTTCTTAAATTATGTAATCAACCATATTTTTAAACATTATTTACTTTGAAACATGAATATATTAAAAATTTATATGGATATATATATATATATATATATATATATATATTAAGATATTGATAAAAATACTTGATATACCATTGTAATATTTACAAAATAATATTAAAGAATAAAAAGCATATGGACTTATTTATTCTGAATTTAAAAATTATAAAAATATATTATAACAAATTTTAACAAATTTATTTGTTTTTTTAATTTTCAATTGAATTTAAAAACTAATGATAACTAAAACATCTAATTTAAAATATTATATTTCTGTTGCCTATTATTTATATATTTATACTTAATAAAATAATATATTATATATATATATTATATATATATATTAAAATACTTTATTTATTTAAAAAACAATTAATTATCTTTAAAAGGTATTATATCTTTGAACTTAGCACTAAAAATATACTTTAATATTTTTTATGTGTTTTTTTATTATTTTAAACATTTGATTAATAAGAAATTATTTGATTTTTAGATTAAAAAAAAATCTCTAAGTTTAGTCCACTTATTCTTTAAATGAATTAGAAATCTATTAAATCATATGTGACATGATTATTATTTCTAAAAATAATAATTATACAAATAAATAAACTTTTTAATGTGCGGATACAAAGTTAATAAAAAAGTATTGAACTTTATAAAGTAATATTTAAAATAAAACAAAATTTTAAAACTATTTTCAATAATCTCCTAAATTATAAATATAATAATACTTATAATTTAAAAAATATATCTATCTATTTACGGGTAATTTTTTTAATATATATTTTTTATTTTATTTTAATAGTAAAATAAAATAAATAATATTATATTTACACTAATGATAGATTTATATAAATATAATTTATATTTAGATTTTTTAAAATATAATTTTGAGAAATCATGAAACATATAATCCATCTTCTATAAAATTTTATGCTATAAAATCATTTAATTTTTTTATAATATATATAAGCAGTTATAATTGCTATGATAGAAGTATCATTGAAATATCTTTTAGGTCTTTGAGTAAATAAATTTTTTTGTTTCAAACATAACTAAAAAAAAGGTGTTGACTTTTTAGAATTTTTTTATGTCTATACATGATATGCTTTGCATAATTAAAAATCATATTAAATCACATATAAATACTTATATTATTTTATAAAAATTTAAAGTATGTGCTAAATAATAATATTTTTAAAAAAAGATCAAGGAAATTACTAATAAGTATAAGAATATAGATCACAATTTGTAAAATTAATTTTAAATATAAAGTCAAGATTTATGAAAAAACTATAAAAGAATTTAATTAATGATAATTTAAAATAATAAAATAATAAATAATAAAAATATTGAATTAGATAATATTAAAATTTTCCAAAAACATAATATGTTAATATGCCAATATATAAATTATATATAAAGAGTATCTCATAGTTAAAAAAAAATAAAAACAGATATATATATATATATATATATATATATATATATAGATATATAGATAAGAAGAGAGCAATTACTTTATGAATAAAAAGTGCAATGAGACAAGAGCAATAATTTTTTCAAAAAAGAATGGCACAACAAGAAAGCAATAACTTTATAAGAAAAGAAAGTTGCACAAATATATGTATATGTATGTATGTATATATATAGAGAGAGCCAAAAAATTACAAAAAAAATAAGTTAGATACAAATGAGTTGCAAGAAACCATATATCATTGGCACTAAAGACCATAAAACCAACAAAGTGTGAATACATGAGAGTGTTAAAAAAATATGAATTGTTGGTACAAATAATTACAATAACTAATGAAGAGCCATAGATATAACCTTGCAAGAATATGTTGATAGAGGGCAATAACAAGGCATAAATTATCAACATACAAGGCCACAAAAGCCAACAAATTGTTCTGGACATAGGAGAGAGATAGCACAAGATCCATGGGATAAGGCCTATCATCATAGCAACAATGCAATCAAATACAACTGACAATAATGAAATCTCCACAACCTCAAAACGTAAGAAAATTAAATCACAAAAATTACAAGAACAAACCGCACCACTTTGGGCTAGAGACCCACTCACAAATGATTTGATGGGCACATAGCAAATCATTTGTGAGTGGGAGAGGCTAAGACCCACTCCTAACAGATGATGAATGTTTTCATTCTTCTTTGTAAAATATCAACCATCTGCAGACCAGTCCCAGTCTGGGGGATGTGCTGCCAAAGCACCATGATTTGTATCACAAAAAACAAATGGTTGTCATATTGTTTCAAAAGTTTTACGAACATCAACATCTCCGCTTTAAGAGCAGGACACCACTCACTGCTACGCTTGAAACACTGGAATGGTTACTCACAAACCAAGGTTTTCTACAAACATATTACCAATACCCAAAAGAGAACTTGGTGGGGATACCGACAAAACGCCACTTACGATGCATCACGTGTTCGTGAATATAAACACACATCTGCTGAGCTTTGTTTGTATTGTGGACCACGCCATACATTCCCATGGAATATCGATGTGGACATAGAGCCTGAGTCTCGAATAAGTGGTCATTAAACGAAGCAATGCTTTTGTTTTTTATTGCGTTTTTTGAGTTTAATTTCTTCCCTCCTTTTTCTGTGTCGAGATGGAATTAAATATATGTCTGAAAGGGGAGACGAAGATGACTTGGGCGAGTTCAACATACAATGCCAGTTGTTCTGCCACAATAGATTATAAAAGTGGTGAGCTAAACTAGGAAAGAGTCACGGACAGTACTGAAAGGTACTATTCGTACCTAGCTTTTTGCGCCGTGCGAAGCTTGCTTCAAAGATCTGGTATGCAATATTTATACATAAGTCTAATTTTGTCACGAAGACCTTCAAAGCATGTTTCGATATGTGTAATGAATCTTCCGTTTTATTCTCCAACACGACACAAGCATTCCTGTTTACTTAATTAAAACCTGAACAGGCGTTGGTTCTCCTGCGTCGATCAGAGAGTATTTAAAGGAATTTGCTGAAATGTCTTGTTGTTTTGTGATGTTTGCTTAACGAAGTGTCTTCGTGTCTCGTTCATTGCCTTGGATTTATTCTCAAGATTTTAAAAATCTGAGATTGCGTCGACGGTCTCAAAGCTGCATCAACAAGATGCGCAAACAGAGGGGATCGTTCTTTTTTTGCCTTCATTACCTCGGCAGTGAATTTCCAGCTACCTCCGTTATCTTTCTCATGAATGAAAGCTTCTATCTTTTCCTTGGAGTGCTCGCATCTTCATATCCACACAAGAAGATTCCACTGTAAGTCCACGAGCTCGATAACGTGATGGGCAATGCCCCAAGCGATCTTGCTTTCACATGATCCTTGGGGAAAATAACTATCACTAACATGAATTCCGTCATATACTCCTAAGGTAGATTAATTGACAGGAGCAGAGGTAATTCGAATGATAAAACTGTCGCGGTGGTTACAGCATGAAGGTGCATGCTCAGTCAACTTATTGGAACTGACTTGATCCAGCATGCAAAACTCGCAAGAGTAACCTACCCATCGACAAAAATTGATAATCCAAGCAGAAGTTGGCTTCTTCACTGTTCGCCCACTTTTATTACCTTCCCCATTCTCCGCAATTGCACCAGTCACTCACAGTCGCCGGTCAGACTCCTAGAAGACCCGTCTGGTCACTTATTCCTTTCCGCAATCAGATGGGTTTTAAAAATCTTTCTGCCGCCCTGTAATGGGTTCTGTGTGCAACGATCAGAGCACTGTAGACTGTTACCGTTTCATCAAGAGCCCTCCGAGGACCACTAGCCTTCTGCACAAGTGACTGTTGGTGTGGTTGCCATTTGTGCGGCCGTTTGGTGCTGACACCTACACTCAGTAGCACTGTACTTTACCCATCGTATGTGTAAGGAACTGTCGCGCAGAATTCGTTGGCATAGATTCGCAGCATTGTGTGTTACCGTTTGTTGCTGGGACTGACATGGACTGTGAAGCACTGTTTGGGTGAAAGATAGGTCAAGTGGGCACTCCGTTGTGCTGTACATGAATGTGAAGGAAGCAAACGAGGGAGTGAAGCAGAGGTTGCTGTGGTCGTCTTCGTCTTTAGTAGCTGAAAGCTGGCGCATCTTCTGGTGTACGCAGTGACTTCGATTTTCTTCATGTGTCGATGCTGAGTTGGTGGAGCGGACATGCATGCGCCTGCCCAGGATTTACTTGTTGGACGAGCAGCACTGATGTTTGGTGATTGCACGGATTTGTTGTCCAGACCTTCGTTGATGACTATTATGAATGTCTTGTATCTTCACTGCACCTGGTTATCAGTCTGAGGCGGAGAACAGGCCTGAGTGTAAGGATCTATTCGCGAGAGCGATTAAACCCACCTCACAAACAAAAATGGTTGAGAGTATGCTAGGATTTCTTGTGAGATAGAGTGAAGGTATTGGTCATTGCAGTGTCCCGCTGCACCTGTGCACAGCTTCCTGTTACAGAGACCTTTAGGGAGTACTTTGAGATAAGAGCTATTGTATTTCTGTTGCGGCGATTGGTGACGCGGTTAAGAATGACGCGCAAGGTGGAGACACAGTTGAAACCTGTGCTGTCAATGCTCGGCTCTCGCCCTGGAGCGGAAGCCGTCGAGGTAGCTATGCAGACGCTGTTTCGCATCGAAACGAAGCTCTCCGTTGATGTAGCGGAAGAGCTCCTGGATTCGAAGAAGAATGTGCACCAAGAAGCAGCTGAGAAAGAGAAGCTCCCCTACCTTGCCGTGATTCAGTTGGAAATGCTTCATCAATTCCACGAGGATATGTTGCAGCAATCAACCAAGGCTCCAACCTCCCCGACAGATTCTGAAACTTGTGGCGAAGCAGTTGAATTAGAAAAATTGTTCGCAGAAACCCCCGGCAAGACTTTGGAGCACTTCGACTTTAGCGGCAAGGCCTTGAAGAGCTTCCCCCGATCATGGACGGCTATGTCTAGTCTCATTTCGCTGAACCTTTCCAACAACCAGTTGGAGGCGTTGCCGAGTGATGTAGGTGGTCTTGTAAATCTCGTGGAGCTCAATGTGCATTCCAACCAACTGAAGAGCCTACCAGATAGCATCGGAAACCTCTCGAAGCTCACAATTCTCAACGTATCAGGGAATCAACTGAAAACTCTTCCGATGAGCTTAAGCAAATGCAGGTATGCGTATAGTTTTGTAGGATTTCACATTCTCAGCTGGAACTACTTTTTTTTTACAGGTTCGTGGATAATTCCTCATCAGTTTCTTATCAAGTTTGTGGGTTGCAGTAAGATGTTGGAATTGAACGCTCATTTCAACCAACTGGAAATCTGGCTCCCCGTCTTCGGCTGGAAATTGGCTATGCTGCGGAAGCTGGAGCTTCAATTCAACAATCTTGTAACACTGCCGGAATCGTTCGGTTACCTCAGCGGATTAGAACATCTGGACCTCAGCAATAATCGTCTTTGCTGTCTTCCGACCTCCGTCGGACTTCTATCTCATCTCAAAACCCTAGACCTGAGCAGGAACTTCAACAATCTCTGCAATCTGCCTCATTCTCTCGGTAACCTCACATGTCTGTCAACGTTGGATCTCAGCTTCAACCAAATCCGTGTGCTGCCCTCGTCACTCGGCAAACTCCAAAATCTCAAGAATCTCGTACTTGACCAAAACCCGCTCACTGTACCACCGAAACAGGTAATTGAGCACAGCCAGGAAGCTGTAATGGCCTACCTGCTTGATCTTTACGAAAATGGCGCCAAAATCAAGCAATCAAACACGAGACAAAAGGGGAATAAGTTGAGCACGAGGTCGCCGGTGAGATCATCTCCCGCTTGTTTGATGATTCCTGCTAGCCCTCGCTATGATCACGCCGGTGGATGGGTTCCTGTCAGGGCAGGCAACACAAGGATGCGGACTTTCTTAGGTCAATGGATGTGTTGGAGAGGGATGGGTGGCAGCTCAATGCGGTGGCAAGAATACAATTCAGATGACGAAGAGTGACAGTAACCTATTCATCTCCATTTCCACTCTCTTGTACTTTACACCGGTAACACATTGTAACACTGATGTCTTGCAATTGGTCGAACGAGCATCTCGTTCGTCGACTTCAGCATGGTTTGTGGACACTACTGCTGGACTTTAGTTGAGCTGTTGTAGTTACATCTACAGAGTGTATTACGACTTGCTTGACCTCCAGATTTGTTGAAATTCAAATGAATTCATGTAATACGTGAACAGATGTGTCTCTTGCAAGTTGCTGGTTCCGACAATTAGTGAAACCATTACTTTTAGTACAACAAATAGTTACGAGTAGAATACAACGGAGTGAACATTCTTGTGTACTTTTCTTTTACTGCAACGATATTTAACTTCATGACGAAAAATAGTATATCAACATACTCCACAAATATTTGTGCATTGATAAATATACCGTAATCCACACACCTCTGTTACAGGGTTTAGCGAAGCTATGTGCACCAGCTTCCATCACAATTCAAGGTACATTTCTGCGTATCCTGTCAGCACTAGGTCTAACGTTGATGTTGTATTCTGAAACGATTCCCAATTCCGTTTGACAGCGTTCAATCTTCAACTCTGCACTAAGCAACCAACTGAAGCGACACTCGCAGGATATCAACTTCTGCTTGTCGTCGCAGATGCTAAAGATGTGTTTTGATGGCGGATTTAGCAAGAGTTACTGATCTTTCACTGTGTTTGAAATAAAAGTCTTCAGTCCTGTAGGCCCATCTTTCCTCGGCCCTGCTAGTGAATAGTAGGCAAACAGTTGGCCTCCTGGCTGCCCTGCGGGTGGTGGACAAACCTCCACATTTAGACAAGGGAGAGACAGCGCAGATAGTTTTTCACCAGCTTCCAAAGCTCGACTTCCTTGTACCCATAAATACTTCAATGAACTCATCGCCGAAACAGCCTCTGCCATTCCCGTCTCTCCGAACGGACAGTCTCGAATCTCCAGCCGTTGTATGCGCTGTGCCCAGTGGGCGAAGTTAGCAAGCCCAACATCGCTGTTTCCCGCGCATCCTACAAGCAACCACTGAAGGTTTTTCCCATAGACACCGATGTATTCCATTCCTTTGTCAGTCAACCCACCGTAACGGAGATACACAGCCAGTCGCCTTAGGTTGACACAACCCTTGAGCATGAGCTTGAGGCCATCGTCCAAAGGGAAATCTGGAGCATACCTCGCACTGGGCTCCAGCACAATGCGGACGTCTACCAAGTGTGGACAGCCTTGCCCCACCATCGCTAGCGCTGCGTTGCTGATGTTGGCAACGTACAATATCAGCTGCACCAGTTGTTCACAGCCTTGCGCTACAGCAACAATGCCGCGCTGTGTGATTGCTCCAGTTTCATCGTCTTCCACACGCAGCTTCTTTAATCCTTTGCACGACCTGCTGAGTGTTTCCATGCCATCATCACCCAGTGTGTTTCGAGTCTGCACATCAAGTGAAACAATGTGCATATAAATTCCATGTGTGGAGATCACTCAAAGAAGACCTCATTGCCAAGTGGGGGTAGTGCAAGGGAAATTTCGGGTATGAGAAATTAACCTGGAGTTCTTGGAGAGAAAAGCAATGGCTGAGAAGCAGGCAGTGGCCTTCACAGCTCAAAAGCGTGTATTTTAGGTCCAGCTTGATCAGATTTGGCGCAATGGGAAGAATCTGTGGCAAGCCTGAATCCATGAGAGACCACATCCCTGATAAAGCATTCAATTTCTTCGGCCATGGAATGGAGACAAAATCATCAACATCCTTGGCACCAAGGTAATTGCAGGATCCTGCACCAAGATCTTCAAGGGAAGGAACTCTTTGCAATACATCAATCATGTCCAGTAACTCGATTTCAGCCACCTTCAAGCAAACTAACGACTTGGACTTCTCCACCAGAATAGTCAAGTCTTCGATGTCGATAGCTTCTATTCCAAGTACTCCAAAATGGAGTTCTTCCAAGGTGGAATCGTTGAGGGCCAAGGCGTGTAGCCATTCGCCTCCTTTGTCTTCTACCTCGCTGTCTTCAAGACTCAACCTCCTCAGAGATCTGATTGTCGAACAGTGTAGATACATGAGCGACCAATTGATAAACAACTGATTGCATCAGTAACCCTAACTGTTCAGTAGGAGAGATATAAACATGATTTCTCATCTCCCACCGTTCAAATTTAATGCACGATGCAGGGACCTCCAGCTAATAATTGAAGCTTCAAATCTTAGTTATCAAGAGAAGTTTAAAATATGAGTACCAGCATGAAACCCTCGAAAATAATTTTCTGTAGAAGTTTAACTAAAGCAGCTTATCCACCATCATTAAAAACTCGCTTGGGTTTATTACATTCAAACCCCCCCAGTAAGTTTCAATGTAAGTGTACCCGGCTACCGCACTTGAAGAGCACTAAAAAAAGTTCAAACCCACTGAAAAGTACCGTAATTTTGAGCAGAGCCACCCGTGGCTGATACGTACACAATGATTCAGAAAATTGAAGAACAGGACAAGAGATTACCGACACGCGCGTACTACGGGAAGAAGACCCTTCGTAGTAAAGCCAACGCACTTGTGCAGATGCAAAACATGCAACGCGGAGCTGAAGGTCGACGACGCTATGAGCTCCAAGTCAGAGTCTAGCACCGTCAGCCGCCGCAGCTGCAGAATGTGAAGATCAGCATACTGTCGCCCAAGCACCTTTAGCCACGGCTCCCCGTAGCCTCCCCAGTCACTCCGCACCAGGTTATACTCAGCCGCTCTCGGCTTCCCCTTCAACTTGATCCCCTCCAAGCCCTTAAACCTCCTCGTCAATGAAGCAGGAGAGGTAGCATACATATTCGCTATCGTCACGAACTTCCGAGTCATGCCATCCACTCGCCGCCATTGCTGACACACCATGGACACAGCTGCCCTATCTTGGGGACTCTCAATGTGATTTAACACGCACGCCAGGGTCTCGTCCGACATCCCACAGGGGAGCGATTTCCTGGACTCCAGCTTCTCAGCGTCAACAACCCCCATAACCATCCTTCACAACACCTTCCCCTGTTAGGTCACATAGCTACAACTCATACGTCCGTGACCCACAAATGCCCTGATCCTCCTAAACGCGGTAAAACAAACAGACCCTCTCCAAAGACAGAAAGGGAAGAGAAGAGTAGTCTGACGAGCCACCTCTGACACACACACCCACAGACACCCACACACACAACTCTCACGAAACCACCACCTCTCCTCTCGAATCACCTGTGATGACGCACATGTCACTCTTGTACGCAAAAGTATCTGTTAGCGATGGTGCTTTTGTGCAGCAGATGATGCCCTTCCAGAGCCGGTAGAGCCTGGACCAGCTGCTTTCGGCGGTGTATGTGCGTACAGTAGTATCTTCGCCTCCTCTGGGTTTGGTTGCAACGTCGTGCTGGAGGTGCAGGAAGACAACGAAGCCCTCCTTCTTCCTTTCCTTCCTGGTAGGAACTGACTGACTGATTGACTGACTTGAAACACTCGGGGAGAAATTTGTCGGATTCCTGGCCCCACCATTCACTGCGATCACACAAACCATCCTCCTGTAGGTGTGATGGAGGAACAGCAACCCCTCCCTCCTCCTCCTACTCCTGATGATTAGAGATCCTAGTTCCTGACATGCAATCCCGGTTTCATAGAAAATTTCTTGCTATTTTTTCTCGCAATCAAGCACGGGGATGCGGGTGTGCTTGTTGCCTATCAATGTGTGGGAAGAAGAAATACACACATGTGTATTTATTTATTAAGCATATTGTATACTTAGATTTGAATTAGGGGATTGAATTATGGGATGAGGGGTTTAAGATTAGGGGATTAGGAGTGAAGGCAATTGGGGGTGTAGATTAGGGAACTAGGAAGAAAGACACTTGCTCGGGAACTTGACACGATTGTTGTCCGCCTTTTGCTTTGGATGAGCATTCTTTACAGTTCGTTTGTGGAGAGTTGTAGGCAATGTCTCGATCCTGTTGTGAAGATTAAATTGGTGAAAAGCAATTGTATGAAATAGTGTTGCATATTGTTATAGAACTTTAAACCCATTTGTTTTTGTTTTTGTTTTTTTTTTTTTAAAAATTAAAAACTCTTTGAAAAAAATCTTATGAAAAAATAAGATATATATATATATATATATATATATGGAAAGGTGTATAGTGAAAATAGAGGATATTATGATATATTTTTTAAAATGTAAAGAATTTAGAGAATCTTAAGCTAAGACCAAGATATAAGAAAGTGGTGAATAAGACATTATAATCTTAGTCTTGCTAAATATATATGATTTTATAAAAACACATATATAAAAATTAAACCACAAGACTTGTAAATCAAGTGTCTAGGTGTTAGCAAAATCGACCCACCTTAATTGCGTTTGGTAGTCCAATGGAGTAACTTCACTCACATAAGACTAGATGTCTTGTATTTCTTAACCATTATTTACCTATGGTTTTGTTTTATCAAATTTTTATGTATTTTCTTATATATATATATTATTTATTATTTATTTATTATTATTTATTTTATAATAATAATAATAATAAATAAATAAATTAATATATTTATTTATTTATTTATTTTATTCTATTTTAGTTTGTTAATTAATTAATTAATTATTATTATATATATTATTTTAATTAATTAATTATTAATTTATTTAAATTACCTAGCAATCACCTTGTGAGAGTTTTTACATGCAATATTTTCTTTAGCAAAGAAATGACCATATTAAAATATTAATTACAACACCACAATTGCTTATTATCACACCAAAAAAAATATGTATACAAATCCTTCCAAACTTGTCTAACTACCACTGGAAATCAACTATTACCTTGCAACAACATTGCAAATCACAACCAATCTACCATAGTCATCTACTTCCAAGCCATGTCATGTACTTGTCACTATCAAACCGTCTCCATGTCCTTACAACACCACTACTGTGATTTCCTTCAATAAGAATGTCTTCACTTCACTGCCTCTTCTGAAATAGTTATGCAGATTAAATCTATCAATGCTAATCCAATGCAACACTGCTATTGCTTTTCTTTTAGTCAACTCGAGCTCCTCTAAAATTGGTACCTCCACTTTCTTCTAATCAATAATCTTCTCTACTGATTTAAATCTATTCTTATGCCCTTGTGATTGCTCATTTTACTTATTTCAAAAGAAACCTCCCAGCATAAACCCGTATAGGGGGATTCCAACACGGGGAATGACTAGTTGCTTAAGCGTTCACGTCAGGGTCACACAATCAATTACCTCCTCAATGTATCGTCTCTATTTTCAATATCTGAATACACAAGGAAACTATAATCTCCTCCTTCACCTTATCAGTCTCTTCTTTACAGCAATTCAGTCATACCAATAACTGCTATTTCCACCAATATATTCACCCTCATAATCTCCAACTGTAATACTGCGCCCTCACAGCTTTTGGCACACAATTACCTTCGTTCCAATCACTGGAATTCTTCACACAAAATTGCCATTCACATTACAGTATTTCATTCAAACACAGACTCATTCTCTCTGTTGAACTACAATCAGATTTCAGCATTCAATCTTTCTTCTTCTCAAATAATACCAATCACATTTCCATTCCATAATTCACTTCACAATATTCAAAAACTTTCAATCCTCTTATTCAAAGAAAATAACAAACAAAAGAAAAGAGGTAGCACTGTAGAATAAGTAGTTATTTTCAGAATGTAGATATCTAGTATATAGTGTACACATGGATAGATAACTGTTGAAAAGGTGGTTCAGCAGGTAGAATGGATGAATAGTCAGGAAAAGTAGTTATTATCTGTAGTATAGGAGTTGGTATCTCGAGGTAGTATAAGGAGGATGGGAGAGGGGAAGAAAATGCCAGACTGTGAGAGTCATAAGCCAAGGGCCAGACTGTGAGAGTTGTATGCCAAGGGCTAGACTGTGAGAGTTGTGAGCCGAGGTAAGCTTGGTGCTACCTCTTTTTTTTTGTTTGTTATTTCCTTTGAAGAAGAGGATTGAAAGTTTCTGAATATTGTGAAGTGAATTATGGAATAGAAATATGATTGGTATTATTTGAGAAGAAGAAAGATTGAATGCTGAAATCTGATTATAGTTCAGCAGAGAGAATGAGTCTGTGTTTGTATGAAACACTATAATGTGAATGGTAGTTCTATGTGAAGAATTCCACTGATCGGAACGAGGATAATTGTGTGCTAAAAGCTGTGAGGGCGCAGTATTACAGTTGGAGATTATGAGGGTGAATATATTGGTGGAAATAGCAGTTATTGGTATGACTGAATTGTTGTAAGGAAGAGACCTATAAGGTAAAGGAAGAGATTATAGTTTCCTTGTATGTTCAGATATTGGAAATAGAGATGATACATTCAGGAGGTAATTGATTGTGTGACCTTAACGTGAACGCTTAAGCAACTAGTCATTCCCCGTGTTCGAATCTCCCTATACGTGTTTATGTTGGGAGATTTCTTCCGGAATAAGTAAAACGAGCAATCACATTTTGGCGCCACTATCGGGGAGTGATAATAGCTTTGAGTGTTAGGAATTAATTACCAAACGTGTGAGAAAATTAACAATAGAAGACGATTTCAGTAGTGTTTGAAGAAAGATTATGGTTATCAAGAATGAGAATTTAACAGCAAAGAGAATAAAGTAATAGAAAGAAAGAATAGAGAGATCGCAAGCAAGAAATTTGTTACATAATGAGTGGAATAAGGTGCATACGAGTGTGATGATGATGGTGGTATAGCTTGCAATGGAACGACATCCACTATTCCCTATGAAATTGTACCATAATCATTCCTTCCCAGATAACTTTCCAATGCATCATTCCAATTTGTCATTTGATAACCTCCTTGAGATGGAATGATTGTGGCTCCAGCTATTAAGTTCTGGTCATAGTGACATTCCTCCCATACTTTTGTTCACTCAAGAGATGATGCAATGGTGGCTGATTGGGCCTCATTTACAAAAAAATTCAATTCTAGTGGGTGTAGTCCATTAACCAATATGGACAACACAAATGATTCTGGCATTTGGTTATTTGGCCATTTTCGAAGTATATCTGCTACATGACTATAATATAACTATATCGCTTCCCCTGGTACTATTTTGTTGTTCATTAATTTTTCTCTAAGACGTTCTTCAAAACCAATTGGTCGAAAATGGGCTAAAAATGTATTTTTCAATGCCTCCCAATTGATAAATTGTCCCACAGATTGGTGGTTATGCCACTCAAACATTGTGTCTTTCAATGTCGCTGGTAGCCATCTCAGCCAAATGTCTTCTATTCTTCCATTATTGGCTACACATGCCGTCAAGAATTGAGACAAATATTGATCTGGATCCGCACTTGGCAAACCCCAAAAAGTAGGTAATGGCGCGATGTTAATCATTTGATTGCCCATTGCACCCATTTGAACTGCAATCGGAATTGCTGGTCTTCCGGACGTCATTAAAGATGCCGGTGTTCTGCTCAATTTCTTATTAAAATAAAAACTGTCTCCTGCAAAAGTCTTTTTTGGACTTCCAAGCCTTTCCGATTGACTATTATTATCCCCAAATAATTTTACTGGTTGAATATGAGGTGAAAACGATAAGTTTTGATATACTTTGAATTGATCTTTATTGGCAAGTGATTTATTCCAATCTTCAGAACCAGTCTTGGTAGGATCGGACGTATTTTCAAGTGAGAAGATACCCAGTGGGGTACCTAATTCCTCTGTACCTTCCTCGTTTTTTGTTAACGGCTTTGAGAGGTTTGCTGAACTATTAGCAGCGCTCCCCTCGAGTGCTCTTGGAAATTTCTTTAACGGTATGTACTTTTGAAATATTAGAGGTCGGTCATCTTTTGGGTACGATTGAATATATTGACAAGCATGCAACCATGGCTTAATCCAACTTTGTCAATGCTTCTTTTTTAATTTGTGATCTCGTTCATTATGCAACAAATTTCTTGCTTGCGATCTCTCTGTTCTTTCCTTTGATTGCTTTATTCTCTTTGTTGCTAAATTCTCATTCTTAATAACCATAATCTTTCTTCAAACACTACTGAAATCATCTTCCATTGCCAATTTTCTCACACGTTTGGTAATTAATTCCTAACACTCAAAGCTATTATCACTCCCTGGTAGCGGTGCCAAAATGTAATTGCTTATTTTACTTATTCTGGAAGAAACCTCCCAACATAAACCTGTATAGGAAGATTCAAACATGTCCCATCTAACGGAGGTTTCTTTAGTAAGTTCGTTAAAGGTTGACAAATAACTACAAATGACCGAATTAATCATCGATAATAAGTGACATGGCCGACGAACCCTTGAACATTGGAGACCGTCTTTGGTCTGGGCAAGTTCATTATATATATTGTTTTGTCCGGATCCGTAGTGATACCACGGCTAGAGATGATATGTTCCAATAATTTTCTTGATGGAACACCGAATTGGTACTTATCCGAGTTCAAAAATATCCCAAACTTAGCGCACTAAGCCAAGCATTTGCTAAGACAATTAAGATGATTTTGTTTTGTACTGAATACATAGAAGTCATCTA